CCCCAAAACCCCAAAACCCCAAAACCCCAAAACCCCTGTGAAGGGAATATCACAGGCATTTGAAATTTTAAATATATATATTGTCGAAAAATTTAATGGGAGCTAATTGTTCAAACTGCAATTGCAACAGAGACGAAAGGGAGCATGAGTTATCAATTGATGATAGAAGCAACGGAGGGTAAAAGGTAGTTCTTCATGAACTGGGAAATACAGAGCTCACTACAGATAAGTTTGTAATGAACGAAATAGTATTAGAAACTAGTATTAATTATAATTGTTATAGGGAGGAACAAGAGCCAGTGCAGTTTAAAATAAAAATAACAATAAAGACAAACAAAAATCTTAAACAGGTTATAACTAAAATACACTTGGAGCAAATGGATCAAGCAATGATAGTTATGGAAATACTCAAAATAATAAGTATAGAGACGATAATTTAAAGATCAGTGATAGAAATGAGCAATAAAGAATATCCGGTGCTGGCAGAAGTGGCTTTAGTGACACAGGTGAAAATTAACATTAACAAGCTTTCAACGATGACTTACCATTAGAGAATAGAGAAGAATACAGATTTAAAAATGGAGCTATTTATAAAGGATAGTGGAAAGGAGAAGTTAGACATGGGTTCGGAATCTAATTGTGGCCTGATGGTGCTCGCTATGAAGGCCATTGGCAGAATAACAAAGCTCATGGAGGTGGGAAGTTTTGGCATGTCGATGGAGATGTATTTGATGGTGAGTGGAGAGATGATAAAGCTAATGGTTATGGTATATATACTCATGTAAATGGAGCTAAATATGAAGGGCATTGGAAAGACGATTTACAACATGGCTATGGTGTAGAAACTTGGGCAGATGGTTCTAAATACGAAGGATATTATAAAGATGGAAAAAAGCATGGAAAAGGAACATATGTTTGGAGTGATGGCTCTCGATATGTAGGAGACTGGTTTGATAATAAGATTAATGGATAAGGAATCTATACATGGCTTGATGGTCGTACTTATGAAGGATCGTGGAAAGATAATAACATGCATGGTTAAGGAACATACACTTGGAGTGATGGTAGAAAATACGAAGGTGAATATTATATGGATAAGAAGCATGGCTACGGAATTTATTTCTGGGCAGATGGTAGAAAATATGAGGGATACTGGTAAAATGGGAAGCAGCATGGTGAAGGGAAATATATAATGCATAACGGAGATATTAAAATAGGCATTTGGGAAGATGGTAAAAGAATTAGATGGATTGAAACATATAGTAACAATATGCATCAACAAAATGACTTCGACAATTCTTAGCAATAATATTAGTGAATCAGCCTTTGATAGCAGAAAGCTCGAAATCTCAATAAAATATATAAAGATATCTTCATTTTTCTATTCTATTTGCTTGTATATTTATTAAAAAATCTCTAACGTTTCTGAAAATAATATTACTCGGGGTTTTGGGGTTTTGGGGTTTTGGGGTTTTGGGG